AATCTCTCAACGCTGTCAATGTCTGAGGTGCTATAGCCATCCGTCCTCCATCGCGCCTTCATTCACTCTCTGTCTGGCACTATCCCACCTGTATGACAACCGATCACTCTTCATCCCTCTATCCATCCATTACCCCTGTCACTTCATCCTTCCATTTCTCTGCCCCAAGGACTGAGCTCCTCCAGGTTGTCACAGATGATACCATGAGAGTGGATTACTTGGGACATCATGATCGATTTATGGTCAAATATCTCCTTACAAAGGTTATAATGTGCTCTCATTAATGTGCCATTAGGCAGCGCTGTTTTGGTGGCTTCACATGATTGGGTACCAATGTTTTTAATGAAGCATAGTTGATAAAGGGTATTAAAATTCAATTCAATTCAATTCAACGCCAATTCATAACAAAAGTTCTCATTGCACTTTTCATATAAAGCAAGTCTAGACCATACTCTTTGTAATATTACAATGTTGTAGCTAATGGCTTTATTAATGTTTCCAAATCAGTTATGAACACTTTATAATTTGATGGCCTATTAGAAAATGAACACATCATTAATAATAGGATATGATATAGGAATAATAGGATTTCTTTTAATAAGCCACTGATTGAAAATGAAAGTAGATAATTAATTATTTTATATTACATACATATTAGTAAGTTGTTATTAAATAGATTTTGGTTTGGGTCACATGCTTTCAAGCCCAGAGTTGCTGGAAATGTGTTCACAGTTAAGTATAGTGCGTTAAATAAAATTATAGCCATGGTGTTGGTGAGGTTGTCTTGCCTTCATCTTGTGAATTTCCTTAGGACACAAGAGAAAGTCAAATGTTCAAGTTAAATTACAACCATATTAACATTCATGAGTTGGTGGTGTTGACATAAAAATAGCACAGGTTTAAATTTGAAGTCCCTGATCTCAAACCCACTCTCCACTTCCCTCTCAGGGCAAGGCAATGCAGTGCAGTGCAGACCAGCAGGCATCAATCTCACCCAGCACTTCCTCCTCTTTAGTGATGGCGGGCTAACACAGACGCAGAGCTTGTCACAGGCTTTCACAGCATTGACCTGCCACACCTCGCTCTCCTCTCTCCCATAAAAAGCGGAGTGAATGATGGGGAGGCACAAGAGGAAGAGCGAGGAGGAGGGAGGGAGTGACAGACTCATACAGCATGCATAACAACTGAGTACGCCTCTCCACATGCATCGCTCCATCTATCTCCCCCTGACTGTCTCATCTAAGGCCAAGGGAGACACACACACACACACACACACACACACACACACACACACACGTACACACACTTTTTACAAAGACACAGAAGGTTGGCTGCAAACTGCTACACAAGCTGACTATCTGAAAACAAATCATACTTTAATGCCTCAAATTCCAGCTCATATGAAGGAGGTCACAAAGTTAAAGCTTCTCTCAATTTCATGGACATTCCCAAAAAATGCACATTGTGCTGATATGCACACCCACTCATAAAGTTCACACACTCTTTCAGTCCGACACACATGCACACACAAACTCAAAAATATTGCCTGGAAGGCTTATTTGAGACCTGGCATTAAAAAGGTGTAAGCTATCAAACCCTGCTCTCATTTTCCAGCTTCCATGAGCAGATGCTAAAAGTGTTTCATTTGTTAAGGTTTTTAAAATAGCCAGTAAATGGTAGGCTTTGCAGGCAGGTATATATATCTATTCAGACATATACACACTCAGTGGCCACTCCATTATATACTTGTACAATCTAATACAATCCAATACAACTGTTCTTCCAGAACATCTATCTTTATGTGCAGTTTTTGGTGACATTATACTGGACTACATTATACTGAGGAGTTTCAAATTAGTTGTGATCCATATGTATTACTTCCAACAGAAACATGCCCATTAAAATCTGCCCTAACTTTGTTTCCTGATATTTACATTTATCTTGTACACCCTGGAGATAGCCTGAATACACCGTTGCAGGATGGGTGAACGACACCGAGACATGGCATCTAGAGACACAAAATATACACGTGATCACAGGACATGTCAGTGAGTAAACAACAATTATCAATATGGATGTGTGATATGACTAAAATGTCATATCCCTATATAAGTCATTTTATATCCCGATGATGTTATAAAATAGAACATTTTCTTGTAAATTTCTCTGCATCATAAAGTTTGGGTAAGCGATTCTGGAGAAATCCAATACCATGACAAATACCATGATATAGAGTGAATACCGAAACAGCAAGTAATGTAACCAATGTTAACTAGGTTGTGTGTACAACTGTCTGCTATAGCTAACAACATGTCTTGGTGAACTAGAAAGTAAGTTGAATGTTCGTGGGCAAGTAATTCAATGTTACCTGACAAAAACATCATGGCTGGATAGCGTGGCTCCTCCATAAAACAGACTTCTCTCTTGAGCTCCTCGTTTTTGCTTGCATGGTTTGAGTCCTCCTGTTCAGGTTTACCCATTACTGAGTAAATTTAACTCTCCTCCATGTTTGTTTAATCTGAGCGCAGATTTCTTCCCAGCAACAACCGCACATGTGGAAGTATGTAAGGTGGTAAAGTTAGTTTTAAGTTGGATATTAGACAAATTTCGAATCATGAATACTCAACAGATGTTGAATCTCGATTCCAAAGGTGCAAAGAGTCGTCCACTCATAAAGTGTTGAATTTGTGACACAACTAAATAAACAATAGAGCATAATTTTAACATTAGATGTTTTTCTAACAATATATATCGTCATATCGCACAGACCTAATTGTCAACCGTGCTATTTTGGTGGTAGTCAAGAGTGATTATGCTAGTTAGCAAGTTATTAGTGGTAGAATTTGAGGTTTTGTTTTGTTTTAGAACTGTGAGTGTTGTGTGAAGTCTCTGAATCATTTATTCCACTGATCTAACTCCTTTGGGATCGCATAAAATTGTAGTCCGGGGTTTCTCTGATGACTGTTGTTACAGGCAAAAGCACAACATATCCCGGGCTTGAACTAACGACTAAAAACCTTTGTCGGGGACAGGCCTTATAAATGACTTTGTGTATATGTTCGTTTAGATGATTTTTATACAGGACATTTTGAGCAATGTTAAACAAATCACTAGTAATGTGTGGTGTTCTATCTATCATGACTGATTTTAATCAACTTTAATACAACAGTCAAATATGCTCAAAAACAATGCAACATTAAAGGTTCAGTGTGTAATATTTAGGAGGATCTATAGACAGAATTGCAATATAATATCCATAACTATGTTTTCGGTGGAGTATAAAGACCTTACTTAATGAACTGTTATGTTTTTATTACCTTAGATTGAGCCATTTCTATCTACATGCTACAGGCACAATGTTGCGCCGCTATGTTTCTACAGTAGCACAAGCGGCTATACAGAGCGTGTTTCGTCATTACGTTGAATACGTACGTAGACACAACAGCGGTCACAGCGTGTCGGCCTTCATAGCTTCTCCTGCGCGCTTGGAAAGAGAGAGGTGAGCTGTGACTGATGGTGCATTCATGTGGTGTCGGAATAATTAGAATTTTTTCCTTCTTAAATCTGCCAAAAGACAAATAAAGTGTACATGGGACATAAAGAAGAATACAGAACTTTGATTCATGCAAAATCATGTATTGCATATACCGGTAAATATTTTGCAAAGATGTAATTTTTAGCATGGTTATAACGGTTAGTTTGCTGTCCATGTAGAGTGATCTAGATGTCTGCGTGTTGAATATGCTCTAATAATGCTAATCCAACACATCTTTGTAGTAACGTCCATGTTGATTCCACATTCTGACATAAGAGGACATAAACACACTGAAATCGGAAGAACACAATTCAAAAAATGGGACCATCTGAGGAACATGTGAGTGCACCGTGAACCACTGGTTGCAATTAGCAAACCAGACTACTAGATGCCACTAAAACTTACACACTGAAGCTTGAAAGACCAGGAAAACACAAAAGAAACTTATTTTGATAACCACAAACATATCAAAGTCGCCTATCAACATAATTGATTTTTATATTTTGCCCAGCTTTACTTCTTAGTACTGGCTCAGTCTGCCTAATGACATGTGTAATAAAGACGTCTGCTAATAGGTAAAGCTGGGGTGATTGTTACAATAACTATTTTTCCATTATAATAAAATCTTATTTTTTCTTAAATGAATGAATTGAATGAACACAACATGAATTGCATCGTCCCAGGTTCAGGCTGGGAACCTCTGTTGCATGTCCAACTTGCTCTCTCCCCTCATTTCCTGTCATCTCTCTACTGTTGATTCTCTAATGAAGGCATAACCTCCCTCACCCCAAAAATATACATATTTGTAGAAAAAATATGTTCATCACATTGAACTGTCAAGAACATCTCTACTGTCTTCAAAATATGATGCCAATCAGTAAAGATAAATGATGTATAATGTTGAATCAGTAGTCCTACTAATATGTGGTCTGTCACGAAGCTACATAATATGTCTGTAGCACAAATAATGGCCTTCCCTTCGTTTGATGAGCGCCAGGACAGTGCCAGACATCCCCAAAGATCGTTGGCCAGGGCTGACTGTTTGATGAGGAGCGATTTGCAGAGCTCAGGGATGAGCTTCCTTAAAGCCCGCCGGGCCTCGACTTTGGTCAACAGAAATCCCTGTTAAAATACTGTGCAAGAGAAAGGTCTGACTCGCTGAAGTAATTGTTCTCTAAGCAAGGCCACGGAGACCAAGTCAAACAGGCCTGTGACCATAAGTGAGAGCTGAGTCTACCAACGACACAGCTGGATATTAGCTCTTGTGATCAGACGAGGTGAGCAGCACATATGCTGTGGATTGAACTTTGATCAGGACAGAATTAAGCTTGAAACTGAAATGTGTTACTCACACACACTGATCTGCCAGAAAGTTGAAAGGGTCTGTGCATTAATGAGTCAGTAACTGATAGATGTGACCAAACTTCATAATGAGAAATAATCAAGGATGAAAATGACACAGACATGCTGACAAAATTAAAAACATCTGTATTTTAAAGGTTTAGAAGCCAAAACATTGTTCCAGTCATAGAGAATATTCTGTGGTAACAGGTAAGTAAAAAGGGGTTTTTTTCTTGATCGGTTTCTTTGATACATTTTTTTTAAGCTAGGCAGAAACTGTGCATTTTTATTAATCTTCTACATTGTGTTAACTCAACACTACTCAATGTAATCTGCCCGCTGGCAGGGCCAGAACCTGCTACTTATGCTCACACTGTAGGGATCAACAGAACAGCCACAAAGCGGCTGCATATGTTGAATTTAAGAATGGAACCCGATTTTGTACAGTGACACTTCCCAAAAAATTATTCAAACAAGAAGACTGCTTCCTCAACAATGATGACAAAAAGAGAGAAAGCCAGCATTCCTTTATGCAATTCTACTATGAACTGAAGAAGAAGGGGAAGAAAAGAAAAACATAGAGCTGTAGATGGCTGGAAGACGCAGACAATATGGTCTGTCTATTCTGCAGAAAAGTTCATTTTTATATCCCAGGAGTCTCAGTCAAGACTATAGTCCCAAAATGTAAAAAACTTCTCCAATAATATAAAATCAAGGTCACAACAGTTTATAATGGATAGTTTGACAGCAGCCATGAGGGAAATCAGATTATGGATCTGCTCAAACTGCAAAAAAGCCGAGCAAAGTTTCGGACATGACAGAAATCCAACCAAATTGTCTGCCAGCCAGATCGTTGATTAATCTGGCATCTGGATCCAAGTCAAACTTCACATCAAATTTGGCCTGATTCTAAGAGTTGAGGGCGACCAGTCTTAATCTGTACAGTGTTTTCCCGGTTTAAGGCACAGGCTAAATAGTGAACATTAAAACATGTTCAGATTTGTATTCTTTTTGAGAATTGTTTGTGCGCTAGAAAAACAATACTTTGTACGAGCACTGTTTAAATCTTCAACAATGGGAACAACAGTCTTCTGTGGGTTGATCCTCTTTGTCTTATACAAGCACACTTTGGGCTTTAACATTCAAGCCACTGTACAAAACAATATGCCACAAAATTCTATTTACACAGACTCAACATTGACCTTTCCTTCCGAACCAGAAGATCAGCCCTTTACGTGTCTGACTTGCAGAATATGGTTCTAGCTTTCCAATATCGTATACAAAGGATATATGGAATAGGCAAGCCTTTGAGTTTGCAATCCATAAATATCCAGGTTTAGGTCTTTCAGAGTTCAACCTATTCCCACCTACAGAGATGCTAGTACCTCCTCTGTGGCAGCAATCCTGTAATTCTCCGGTCTGTCCAGCTCAGTAGCTCCCCCTTGACATATCTAACCTTGGGTTTCAATCTTGGGCGTCTCAGGATGCTGTAGGAGAGAGAGCGGGACTGGGAAGAAGGAGCAGTGAGGTTGCCGGTACCGATGGACACAGCAGGGTTATGACAGGAGAGTCTCTCCGGACCACTAGGACTGTTTGAGTCGTTTTCTTGGGGGACCTAGGAAGGGGCACTGAGCCGAGGCCAGGCAGTGATAAGCCTCTGCTACCAGGTGTGGGTGAGAGATCACCATGGACTTCCACGCCGATGTCTCCATCACATCAGCTGCGTGACTGAGAGAAGAGGGCAAAGAGAGGAGATACAGAGTAGAGGAAAGTGGGGGGAAAAACTTAAAGAAAGAAACCAAGTGGACAAGCAAAAAGATAAATTAGTGCACAAATTAACAAGTTTCTCAAGAGCTTGGGATTATATGACTCCATCTGTGTAGAGCGCAGCTCTGAGACATTAAGGATTTGTCATACCAGCTGGAAGAGCTGTTATTTACTTTGTATTTTTAAATATTTAACCCCAAAGGTCATTTTGAGAGAAATAACATCACACAAATAAATCTGACGAGAAAGTCTGTTGAGTCATGGTGTTCAGGTCATCACATCATATATCATACTATGTTTATGTAGCCAGTGCCTACTAGCAACCCCAAAATCATGTTCCCTTCACGCATGTTTCATTTCAATAGTCCAGGGGAGGTTAAGCTCTACAGCATTTCACACAATTTTAAAAAAAAGTGAGAAAAAATGATTTAGTGTAGCAGATTTAAAAAAAATCTCTTCTACATTGTTAATTAATTCAGAGCCCCTCAGATTTATTTTCCGGCTCCAGGTTGGGTATCATGCATTAGAGTAATAGCAACATATACTCTAATTTACTTTTTTTTTCTATTTTGGTTTGTTTACCTACAGAAAGTGCTTTATTTCAGTTCATTACATGTTGACTAGAGTGGCCATGACATGGCCAGTGGTTGAAAGAAACTCCAGTACTGTACTTAAGTACAGTTTGGGGTACTGGGGTACGAATTTGTAATTATTTCCATTTGATACTTTATACTTGTACTCCACTGCATTTCACAGGTACATTTTTGATCCGGCAGCTAAAGATGCTGATCACTTTGCTGATTATGATTATTAATTCAAAACATATGATCATCTTGGGCGGCACCCCAAGGGTTTGTACCCCGGTCGTCCCGGCCTTTCTGTGTGGAGTTTGCCTGTTCTCCCCGTGTCTGCGTGGGTTCTCCTCCCGCTGTCCAGAGACTTGCGGACTAGGTTAATTGGTGGCTCTAAATTGTCCTTAGGTGTGCATGGTTGTTTGTCTATGTGTGGCCCTGCGATGGACTGGCAACCTGTCCAGGGTGTACACCGCATTTTGCCCGATGTCAGTTAGGATTTACTCCAGCCCCCCGTGACCAATGTACGTAGGATAAGCGGTTGACGATGGATGGATCAACTTTTAAAATATTAGGCATTGGTAAGATGACACTACCTAACAACATATATACTAGTTTAAAAAATAGCACCATCTCAACCAGCTACAACATTAAAATACTGCTTACACATGTTTGAGTCAATAATAACAATCCATAACATAAATGCATATATAGTGTATTTTGCAGATAATACTTTTGTTCTTTTCATTAAGTAAAATTTTTAATGCAATCTCAACAGCAAGTATTAGTGTCAGATGATATACAGAAGACGAGGTGGTAAAGAAACAGAAAGCACAGGATTGATATTTCATTAAGGAGAAACTAAACACATAGTTACTGAACCGTATTTTTATCTTTTTGTCATCTTTTTCCATTGTAAATTACAAAGTGGAAATCCTCACATTATTAAAATGAATAGTACTTTACAAGACACTTTGAACTCTTAAGAGTCCCTGTGGCTGTGAGAAATTTTGGAGCTCCAGCAATAATATACTAATGGTAGCCAGAAAGCCAAAACAATTTTAGATAAACCTTGTAATTCATTTCTGATGAGTTTTACCCGTGGTCATCATCTGCCACAGATGTGAGTTTCCACCAGCACACCCTGTGGCAGTCTTCAACTTCCTGACACCCTCAGGGTGCCGGGCTGCACTATCACGCACACCGCTGTGTGGCCTTTAATGACATTTTTCAAGTTTTATTGTGTGTAAATAAACAACAGCATGTGTGCATGTTCATATGTGTTTGTGTCTTGGAATGTCTACTCTTGGCACTTGAGTGTTTATTTGTGTGTGAGTGCATGTGTGTGTAGTCATATGCTGTCCACACAGCAGCTCCAGACCTCCAGCCAACCTCTGACCCTATTCTCTGTGGAGGGTGTGAACCCCTGCTTACAGTAATGGCCATGGTGTGCTGAGGCTGAGGCAACAGGCCAGAGAAAGGGCACAGGGAGAGCAGCCACAGCAGGAGGGGAAGGAGGAGGGATGGACTGAGGGAGGAGAGAGCAAGACAGCAGCAGCGACAGAAAAAAAAACAGGGAAGCGAGGCAGAGTAATGAAAGTCTGCAGAGAGGGATAGGAGGGGACGGAGGGAGAGAGAGGAGCAGTGATGTGAAGGTAAATTAAAAAGAGGCCAAACTATGACCTCCAGTCAGTGGTAATCATAAAGCAAACCAACACTATTATCAACAAAAACACTACATACTGTCATTTATTCTATGAATTTACTCAAGACTAAATATTCATGTTGGGCTAAAAAAGTGGGTAAATTTCTATAAACAAAGTGGATAAAGAGTGTTTGGGTGGCTTTACTCTCTGCTACATCACTGGAGAGAACTCCTATTGTCTCACTAAATGACTGTAAGCTACTTGTAAAAACTGGTCTGGAAAGAGGTTGAGGTGCTGCTAGGGGGAGGATTATTGGTTCCTCAGTGCCTTCTGTTTTCTATATTCGTCCTCTAAATTGATTTTTGTTTTGCTGCTCTTGTTGCTGCCCATTGTGTCCATAGGAGGAGGGTTGATAACGCTTTGCTGGCCTGGAGTCCCCTGTGGCCAATTTTCCCACCACAACAACAACGCTGTCGCAAATTAAACTGTCATAACGCCCATAACCACAATTAATGACTGGGATTAGGGGCAGAAATCTGCATTACTGAACACCTTTAGGCACACAGGAGCTCTTAAGCACATAACAGTAGAGGGAGAAAGGGGAGAAGTGGGGATGGAAGATGGAAGGCAATGGAAGAGGGAGGGAGATGTCGCCCATGCAGGAACAAGGCCAGGAGATGGAGTAAAATTGCAAAGAGAGGACAGAGGAATAAACAAAGGGATGTTAAATGTGTCTGGCTCAGAGACAGAGAATTTAGAAAACAGAGGGAAGGTGATGAATTTAGGTAGTGACTGAGGGAAACCTTTTTGTTTCAACCGGGCATTCAAATACTGCATCAATCATCTCTCCATGGACATAAATAGCAGTCATTGATGCTAATAGGCCCCATCTTACCTAAACAGGCTGCATGCTACATGATTAACATCAGCAGCTGAGCTTTATTGCTAAATGGCCCAATATGATCCAGCAGCAAAATGGTCTGATCAGGGGATTAAATTAAATTTCCTCTGGAGACAAAAATTGCTCCCACTGAAAATTAATGACTTCCTTTGACAAAAAGCTAAGTGTATGAGTGTGTGTGTGTGTATAACAGAAAAAAATGTTTGCATAAGTGTGGAAGTATTTCCGGAGATGAATGATCTCAGTGTTGGCGTGTAACTCACTAGTTGATGAAGTCCACAGCCTGCGTCTTGAGCTGGTCGGCGCTGTGCAGGTCGGCGAGGATGAGGATCTCTGCGGCGTTCTCCACACTCAGACTCGTGCACAGAGCGTCCTCGCACATCACCTTCAGCCTCTCCAGAGCATACTGCCAATGACAGAGAGAGCAAGAGAGAGAGAGGAGAAACAGCAGGTAAACTACATTACCTAAACAGAGCTGCCACCAACAACTGTTGTTGCACTGTGTAATGATTCTGAAATACAGAATTACTCCACTGCGGCTGCAACAAGGTTTAAATTGAATGAGAAAAAAATATGGCAAAGAGAAGGAACAGTGACAGTTATGCAGACTGAGGGGGATGATAATGGGAAACTTGAGAGGTAAAAAATAATTTCCACTGAGTTTCATTACAACATCGCTTGGAACAATAATCTTCCCTTATATTCAAATACACTTCAGGACGAGTCATATGGGTACAGCAGAGACAACAGGGGATTTTATGTCACCATATTTTTTCAATTTAGCAGGGTATTTACTAACACTAATTATGTAAAGGATTTCATTTAAATTAACTTCCACTAAATAAAACTTGTGCTGAGATGTTTAAGACACGTCCTACATATGTCTAGTAAATACTGGTTAAAGAGAGAAAACACTAATTTGGAACTGCAATTCTGCACTCTTCATTCAAGCATGAAGGCTAAATTGTAAGTGAGATGATGACGTATCAGTATTTCTCTCCTGAGACAAGCTGACTACATTAAAATCAGTGACTGATTGAAAAGACCTTCGATATTATGTGACAGATTTTTGGTTGCTATTGAATCTTTCAAACTCTTTTGACACGCTTACAGCTGTGAACATATAAACAAGAGTCTACAGCCATGCTAACAGCTTTGTGAGGCTGGACTAACACACACACACAGCGACGCTTTGAGCTAAATGCCTGATCAGACCATGTTCACCATCTTAGTTTAGCATGTCAGTGTTTGCTTAGTGATGATACTTTACCAAAAGAAAGAACAGTGCAGAATTGGCAAATTAAAATGTTGATGATGATGATGATTCACCAAAGTTATTACAATCCATCGTGTGGGCTTAAGTACTGTGCCGACCGATAGACTGGCATACGTAGAGACATGCCACTATCATGGCTAAGAGTTTTACAGGCCTACCTAATTTTGCATAAATAATGCAAATCAAGCTGTACAATCAGCAGCTTGACAGTATTAATAAAGCAAATGCAATAAGTTTCCAGACAACTGGAAAAAATTTGGATAAATAGACAGGAAAAACTGAGTATAGAAGGTCAGCACAGGAACAAGCAATGAGAAATTTGCATGCATCTCTTTACCTCCCAATGGTGGGTAGGTTTATATTTCCCATCATAAAGTGTTTGAATATGTGTGTGTGTGTGTGTGTGTGTACAGGGGTTGAGGAGCATTTGTTGTTCCTCAGGTGTATTTTTGGGGACATTATTATGCATACCGGCTTGTGTATAAATGTACATAGTAACAGGTGCACACACATCCACATACACACCCACATGCTGTACCTTGTCAGCTGCAGCCAGCAGGTCATCAGCCATCTTGTCCAGGTTGGGGGCCTTGCCTGTGTAGATGAAGCACATCATCTCTTTGAAGACATCTGGCTCCACGTCATTTATCTCCACACGATTCTGAACGAGAGGAGAGGACCGGAGAGGATAACACACACAGGGTTTAACTGAATAAAAAGGCAAGAGAAGAAAAAGACAGATGCTTTGACAATCCTTCAAAACCATGTGCAGCAGCACAGTGTTTTTTCTTCATGTGAATATCCCAAAACCTACTTGAATTAAACTCACTCACCTTGTTTAGCACACACACAGGGACAGTCAGCCATGCAGTGATACAAAACAAGTTCCAAGTGCCAAATAAGAATTTAAAAAAACTTGAAGAACCTTCTGAACAGTCTGAACACGTTTCAGCAAAAATACATTCATTTATTTAATTCTTTTCAGCTGATTCCTGAAAATTAATCCTAAGCATTCATTCCTTGACTGTGCCTGCAACCAGCAAAGTAGGCTTTATCACTCGCTGGCACAGTGACGGTAACCTGAACCTTTCTCTCCGCACTGAGAGGCAGAACAAAGCAGTAAACCAATTATAACAGTGCTTTATCGTCAACACGGTGACCAGCGGCATTTTAGCAGGGTCAGGCTGGGTGTTCCAACAGCTTAGTGCGTTTGTGTCAACTCTGACCACTCAACAGCAACATAAACACACTGAGAAATAATGGAAGGGGAGTCTGAAAGGGGCTGGGTTGAGTTTACAGTATGCAGTCTGCAGTCTGCTATACTGCTCTTTTACAGGAATACAGATAACATAAATATATGCGGGCATGTGAGCACAGATGCAGCTTAGACAGGTAATACAAAAGAATCCTCGTTACATTTGGCACATCAAATCTGCATGTATATATTGTTTCTAAATTAACCTCAGATTCATGTTTGAAAAATATTTCACATTCACGGCCTGTATTTTTTTTTACTTACTGTTTGTACACAACAGGACTTCCCTCAGTATTACAAAGACAAGCTTTCAACCGTGTTTAATATATAGACAACACTCCTGTAGTTACAGTGTCGGAAGCTCCCTTCTATTCACAGAGCAGTCCTCTATTAGAGTGTTTCTTTATGAGCTCATTTGTCTCTCCTTTATAGAGTGCTGCAGAGGAGTGTTAAGCCATCTATCTGTTTTCTCTGAATTGTACGGGGACGTGGCCCACCATCTCTCCCTCTTTCTGATGAAGACGCCCACTTAAACAGCAATTAAGATGCATTTCCTGGCTCTGTGCTTTATAATTTCCCCATTCGAGCCGCGCAGGCATCAATATTCTGCTGACATGACGGCTAAATCACCAAGGTTCAATCTCACCACCCCACAACCAATGAACACAACCAACTGTGGCACGAGGGCTCTCTGCATTGCACACGTGTACACACATACACAGACATGGAAACACACAAACACAGAAAACACTATATCACAGGGCACATTAAAAAAAAGCAATGATGAGCACACTGCCTGTAGCGTTGAAATACTTACATGTACACTAAGCCACAAATGTACATATAAATATAAACTAAATAAACTTCTTTTAGACACATATATAAAATCAACTGCACTCAGGGCAACTAAACATAACTTATACACTAGAATGTACGGTAAAGGTTTCAGAGGTTCATTTATGTTACTAAGAAAACATTTAAAAACATTTATATCCGTGCTAAGAGCTAACAAGCTAACCTGCCGGGGGAACATGCTAGCCAGTCAGATGTATTAGTACAATTGACTCTTGCCTCATAACTGTCTGCAAACCATTCCTCTTTCTGTGGAGCAGTTCTGACAGAGGATTATTAAATAAAGATTGATGGCGCAACACATCTATCTAAACGTGAAAAATTCACCAAAGTTGAACTGATTTGGTTTACCTATTCCACTGATATTAATCATTTTAATGCACAGTTTGGTCATTCTAAATGCCGAAAAGTGAGACCTGGCCACAGCAAGACATTGCAGTACTGAAATGCCAAAGATTTGTTATACGTAACTTAGAAATAGTATTGCCATTACATAGTTTGTCCACCAGAGAGCACTGAAAAATACATTTTTAAACTGCTCAGTACATACTGTGGTCACAACTGTCGAATAAGAAAATGTAAGTGATACTTGTCAGAATTACACATTTGTATCGTGTGTTTGTGTTCACAAACAAATGTTGTAGATAATAGTTAGTTTTCCTCTCTTTTTAAAATTAAAACTTAAATACTGATATTGGCGGGCGGCACGGTGGTGCAGTAGTTAGCACTGTCGCCTCACAGCAAGTCGTGGGTTCAAACCCTGGTTGCCCCGGCCTTTCTGTGTGGAGTTTGCATGTTCTCCCCGTGTCTGCGTGGGTTCTCTCCGGGTACCCCGGCTTCCTCCCACCATCCAAAGACATGCAGTCTAGGTTAATTGGCGACCCTAAATTGTTCTTAGGTGTGAGTGTGAGCGTGAGTGGTTGTTCATCTATGTGTGGCCCTGCGATGGACTGGACCTGTCCAGGTCGCCAGATGTCAGCTGGGATTGGCTCCATTAGCCCCCCTGCGACCCTGTATGCAGGATAAGCGGTTGACGATGGATGGATATTGATATTGGCAACCCCAGGAGATAGTCCCCCAAAATCTTCCATCCCAGAAATAATAATACATTTTATTTATAGGTATATATAGCTTGTTGACCCCGAATAGTTCGATGCTTCGATGACTGTCAATCTCACAGTCGAAGCTTCGCAGCGAAACAAGGATCATGCCATTTTGCCGATATGGGGGTGCTCAACGTCTAATTTTACATAGAACTACCAGTTTTCTCCCAATAAGTTAATATACAGCCTATTACAATATACATTTCAACGTAATGCTATAAATAAACATGTAAAAAGAATAAAACTTGTTTTTAAAGTGGGTAAACATGTTTTTAAAGTGGGTAAATAAATCCAAAATTGTAATCTTAACCCTGGGTCGTCAGTGCACACGTGTAGGCGTAGCGTGTGTGTGGTGGCGGAAGAGGAACGCTTGCTCCTCAGCCCCAGCTTCACTGGTGTTGTGCCGAGTTGTCCGCACCTCACAGGATTTTTGGATAATTTATCACAGTTGATGAACCACACAAAGAATATTATATAGTTTTAACAGCTGGCTACTTGAAATAGACCCGCAAGGAACCGCGTTGTGCATGCAGTTGTTGGCAGCACGGAATGCATGCTAAACTCTGCACAAACGGGTGAATGGCAGATGACAGAGAGACAGAGAGAGAAAAGGGTATTCAAAAAGCCTTAGTTTAGCTGGAAATTTATAGTGTAAGTTGAATGAATAGAGACTGCAGCTCTACAGCTTCTCAAGATTACAGCGGAGCTACCGTTCTAAACCCCATAGGTCAAACAGGCAGGAGGTGCAGTTAGATGAATAGAAGAAGAAGACGAATGGGTGTGTTGATATGATGGAGGTAAGTGAGGTACTGTGGAATGACGTTGTGATGGCCTTGAAGGCGAGGAGCAGAATCTTGAAATCAATGCGGTATTTAACTGGGAGCCAATGAAGCTGCTGAAGGACAGGAGTGATATGATTAGTAGAAGGGGTTCTGGTGATGATACGAGCAGCAGAGTTCTGAACAAGTTGAAATTTATGTATGAATTTGAGAGAAAGACCAAAGAGAGGAGAATTACAATAATCAATGCGGGATGTAACCAGTGTCTGAACGAGAATGGCTATACTAGTGGGTAAAAGAGAAGGACGGAGGTGATTATTGTTACGTAAGTGAAAGTATGCAGACTGAGCGACATTATTAATGTGAGCTTGAAATTAAAAGTGTGCTGTCGAGGATGACTCTTGACCTGAAGGGAGGGGGAAACTGATAGGTTGTCTATGGTAAGAGAAAAACTGTCAAGTTTTGTTAAAGTGGATTTGGTGCCAATGAGGAGAACCTCAGTTTGGTCACTGTTACGTTAGAGGAAGTTGCTGGAGAACAAGGATTTTATTTCCAATCAGAAAGGAAGGTGGGTGGGAGAGTGGAGGTAGGTTAGGTGGACAGGTAGAGCTGTTTATCATCCGCATTTTTCTTTTTACATTTTCCGAATATTATTTACTTCAGAATTTCTCTACAAAAGTAAATTAATCCTTGAGTAAGTATTGTTATCATTAATATTTCTTCTTCTTCTAAGTGTTATTATTTGGTTTAAATATCATGTTAACAGAATATTATTACTGGGTTAACACTATAGCAGCAGTAATCAGTAGTATAGTCAACTCTGTGCAGGGTCGCAGGGGGGTGGAGCCAATCCCAGCTGTCACTGGGTGAAAGACGGGATCCACCCTGGACAGGTCACTAGTTCATCACAGGGCTAACATATACAGTGAAACAATTCACACACCTGTTCACACCTAGAGGGCAATTAAAAGTCACACATTAACACTAGAACCGCCAACGGGTCAAATTTCCCCGCAGCTGTTTTTTGATTGTATGTATCTTTGTTTCAATATAATATTCAAGTCCCCCAGTCTCTGACTTTTCCTAAAAGTGTGTTATGTAGCACCCCCTATTGTTTAAAAATGATAAAGCCAGATTTAAAAAATGGGCATTTACACCTATAAGCGCCAGCAGGTAAAATTTACCCCTATTGAGAATACAGTCATTTTAGTGCTGTTCACGTCACACGTTTAGATAAACATTCTATGTTGCTATTGGCAACGCCTTTTCCACTACAGGCATTACACTTGCTCAGCGCAGTGAGTGAAGGAGAGTCTGACTGTGGGGGCTGAGCGATATGTCCTGGGTTGACTCTGCATCTGACGGGTTATTATCTGACAGCGATCCTCCTGAATGAAGTAAATATGCATAAAAGCCGCTGCTTATAGCTTTTGTGTAGACTACATGATCATCAAAACTAATGCTGCAGTAGCCTAGTTTGTCCCTGCGATAGAGGTGTGTTCTGCAGTCGTGTACTTTTTGACCGGCTAACGTTTCCAGTACTGTGTATTTTTTAGTAAAAGTGATCATTATACATTTTTCTGTTGGGTAAAAATCTACTATGAATTTTGGAATTGATAAATGTTTCTTTCGAATAAATAGCCTACTTTTATTTGGACTTTTAAACTTTTGTAGCTATGTGTTGGAGTCAACAAACAAGCAGAACAGTAAGAACTAGCCGACATTATGAGGCTATTATTACCGCCTATAAAACACTACAACAGTCAGTGTTTTTTGTAAATTGTATGCTGCATTCTGCATGTAGCGGAAATAATCACAAAATCACTGCATTTTTATAGCGGGTAAATTTTATTTTAAATTTTTTAGCGACAGTGCTAACCACAGCACCACCATGCTGCATGTGTTTTATGTTATACTTAATTATTCTCATTTTATCACCACCCAGTCATTTTCTGGTACAGTAAATAAGGTCACTTCAAGTACAGGTCTGGTCGACAAGATGTTGGCTCAGAAAGACGAAAAGTATCAAAAACGGCTAGCTGTGGAAGTGTACCACTCTAACCCGAGACACAGCAGGAGCTCAGTGAATTCAAGTGTGGTACCATGACAGGTTGCCACCTCACTACTATATATTTCACTGTCAACTGTTAGTGGTATTATAACAAGTGGAAGCGATTGGGAACAACAGAAAATCAGCCACGAGGTGGTAGGCTACATTAAATCACAGAACAGGGTCAGAGTCGCACAATGCGCAGAAGTCGCCAACTTTCTGCAGAGTCAATAGCTACAGATGTCTAAATGTGGTGTGGCCTTCGGATTAGCTCAAGAACAGTGCGTAGAGAGCTTCATGGAATAGATTTCCATGACCGAGCATCTGCATCCAAGCCTTACATCACCAAGTGCAATGCAAAGTGTGGGATGCAGTGGTGTAAAGCATGCCGCCACTGGACACTAGAGCAGAGGAGACGTGTTCTCTGGATTGACAAATCTCACTTCTCTGTCTGGCAATCCGATGGACGATTCAAGGTTTGGCGGTTGCCAGGAGAACAGTACTTGCCTGACTTCATTGTGCCAAGTGTAAAGTTTGGTGAAGGGGGGGTTGGGCCTGGCCTCTTACTTCCAGTGAAAGGAACTGTTAATGGTTCAGTATACCAAGACATTCTGGACAATGTCATGCTCCCAACTTTGTGGCAACAGTTTGGGGATGGCCCCTTCCTGTTCCAACATGACTGCGCACCAGTGCACAAAGCAATGTCCATAAAGACATGGATGAGCGAGTTTGGTGTGTTTGACTGGCCTGCATAGAGACCTGACCTCAACCCAAAAGAAAACCTTTGGGATGAATTGGACTGGAGACTGCGAGCCAGGCCTTCTCGTCCAACATCTGTGCCTGACCTCACAAATGCGCCTCACCAAAAATAATGGTCAAAAATTCCCATGAATACACTCCTAAACCTTGTAGACAGCCTTCCCAGAAGAGGTGGGCCAACTCCATATTAAACCCTACGGATTAAAAATGGGATGTCATTAACTTTCATGTGCGTCACAAAACTTTTGGCAATCTAATTCATTCTCTGGTCACTTGTGGATACTTAACTGTTGATTATTAACTTCTAAATTAACTGCAGCTATTGGTCTTCTTTTAGAGGATTTTTGCATTAGTCTTGCTTGCGATATCAAAGTTAATATTACACAATAAAATCGGAAAATGTTGCACATTGTAAAACTTTATCTATTTATCTATTTATTTATTTATTTCGTTTATTTTTGAGTGGCTCTCTAATCAGCATTGCAGTGGAAATGGATGTTAAATTTACGTTAGATATGGCCAAGAGGAAGTAAATAGAAGGGGCCCCAGGACAATAGTGAAATGACTGTGCTGAAAGCAACACAGACTTCACCCATTTTCACTGGCACTGTCCCTTTTTGTCTACAAACAACAACTTGTGCCTTCAGAATAATTTCAAAGATACTATAATCACATACAAATTCTACAAATAGTGGCTTTAAAGACACCAAAAAGACATGAAGGAACATGTGCAGACACACTTGGCGTTTTCGGGGGTGAGCTCTTACTGACGCAACAGAGAGAAAGATTATAATTTAGAAATTCAACTCGCCACTACAGGAGCAGGAACAAGAGTCAAGTGCTTAACTCACCTTCTTACTCTCTTCCATCTCGTGCTCAAACATGGCACTGAACACCGGCGAGCGAGCTGCGACAGAAAGAGAAACAGAAGACAGAGAAAGAGATTGAGAGAGGGAGAGAGAGAGGGAGGGAGATTATTGTGTGTAACGTTAATGCAAGGAGAGGTTTGTGATATCCGTTAACAGCCTGCCACAGGGTCAAAGGAGAATGAGGGGAATGATTGACAGCAGTGACAGCATTAGAAGCATCATGTGAAAAAAGTCGACTGCAGCTCTGTCCTGCTGACAGACTCATGATGACCTCTGAGGTGTGTTTAGCCAAAATGTAACGCTGATAGACTAACTTGAATGTAGCTTAAGTTATTTAATACATTATGCTTTAATAAAGGTCTGTCTTACAGTTATTTGTGACATGGTGGCGTGCTGCCACTCAACATAAACTATTCTCTCATGGTAGGATGCAGGACTGCTACAGGACTATGGCTTATTTTTCAAAAGGAGCAGCTGTGTTTGAAGTATTTTCCAGCATTTATGTCCCTGCAAATCCAGTTTGTTTTGTGTCTCTTACTGCAAGAGGACACTGTTCACCACAGTTTACAAAGCCTCTTGAGGCAAGGACAGTTCAGATTATGCTTCCATTTACAGAAAGTGTAAAGTAGAGAAAAAATACAAACAGGCTGCTGATTTTGCGCCAAAGTCCCTCAACGTAAAAGAAAACAGTTAAGTTTGCAATTCAAGGGGTATTTTTAAACTTTTTAAACAATTTTTACCCAAATTTCATATTATTGATTTTCTTCTTTTTTTTCTTTTTTTTTTTTAAAACAGGCGAATTGAAAGTTTAAATAACCAAATCCCCCAAAGTGACCCCAAAGTACTGGAGCTAATGATAAAAAAGGACACAGATGATTAGTATTTGTGTTACTAAACCCTGCGCTAACCAAGTGAGATGACAAAAATCTTACTACATTGCAAAACACTTTGTTTCCGGTCATGACATGACCCCACCTGAAGGTGTCGTGTTTAATCTTCAGCACAGACAGACTACGCTAGCTGTTTGATCCAAACACAGCACAAATTACATAAATCAGTATGACGTCTGTTGTACTTAAAATCACCACTGTATGACAAGTCTGCATGTTTGAAATAATCACCACATCTTGTTTCTGTAGTTCTGCTTAAGGCAATGACACGGGGTATTTTTTCCCTCCCGGTTGTGACAGAGGCTAGTTTCGGCACAGGCTGAGGCTGCACCTCAAAGATAGACCTCAAAGAAAGCTCAGTCTGTGTCTGAACATGATTATTAGTTAGTTGTTTAACAGCGAAGAGTGTCTCTACAAAAAATTAGACCTTTGCTGTTTACTGCAGATCACATCAACCAGTGAACGTCCTTCTGATGTGGTTCACTTTGTTTGATTAGGTGCTCATTGGGTAACACTTTATGTTATTGTTCACTAATGAATGCTTAATTGACTAGTGATTAAAATTTAATAAATGTTTTAACACGTTATTAGGTATGTGTCAAAGTCAGTGATATGCTAATTAATTTAACTACTTAATAATGAGTTATTAACTGCAGAGTTAGCTGCCCATTTAATTACTCATTTGGAAACATGGTTTCATCCATCAACTCTGCATAAACCACAAAAACTGATAATAATAGTAAAATGTGGGTATGAGCCAATAAGTGAATGATATGTTACAATGGGACATAGTGGTTACAAGGTCAGCACCTGCTGTTTCGGTATTAACTAAAATCTTCAGCTAAATAAATAAGGTCAAGCAGCATTCAGCTTTCATAAGTTTTTTTCAGACATGCTGTGGCTCAGAATCCGAATAACTCAAGGTCAGGCCAAAAACAAAATGGCAAAAAGTTTAACCTCTGGGTAGTAACAAAAAAAGTTGCCAAAAACAGTGTTTAGTTTCCATTAAAGTTTTCAGGTACATCAGTTAGTTATAGAGTTATCAAGCTATTTTTCAGTAAGAAAGGTCCTCATTCCTTGTATTTTCTGATCAGATTGTAGATATGATGACGGGCCTCAAAATCCTTTCTGAGTACGAGCGGGGTACAATAATGTTTAACCACATAGCGGGTAGAAGATTAAAGTTGTAAAAGCACATGTTGAATGGAAGGTGAATTAACTATTGAACTGTCTGGCTTGTTGAAGGGATACGTGAAAGAGACATGAAAATAACTTCTATATACTTTTCTTGTGCTTTCTCTCAAGAGGTGATTTTTTTGTTTACACTGAAGGTGAGGGAAGCTGGCCAGACAACTTAAGGTTTTGGACAGTTGATTTGTAAAAAGAAAAAGAAAAAAATCACCAATGATGAGGATTTTGCTTCCAGCAAATACAAACGTACATGACAGAGAACTAAAAAGAGGAAGTTTGTTTGTCTATGAAGGGTCTATAAGTCAAAGACAGCTGGGCTTGCTTTAGATTATTGGTTCTTTGCAGTTACCTGCAATTATACAGCATGCCAAAGCATTAAGACATGATCTTGGTGTCAATCCTTTTGTCACACATCATGCAAAGTCTGCAACTGATAAAAATCGTAAAAAAGGTTAGTGTAGTCATTAATTGATGACTGCATCGTGCAGCAATAAATGGCCAGGTAGGACTATAGGGACAAACCTACAATAAGTCTGTCTGGTGCAGCTCAATACTGGTGAGCTCATACTGCAGCAACAAAGGGAAGGGGTGGGTGAGAGAGAGAGAGAGCAAGAGGGTCACTGAATGTGAAAGGAGGGAGAGGAGAGAGAAAGTCAAAGGAAGAGAACAGCATACAGAAATGGGAGTAAAGGGAACTAAGCAAACTTTGAGAGGAGAGACAGAGATAATGGAGTAAAGACTGAAAGGAAGACAAACAGAGGCATGTGGGGGAGAAAACTACAAGGGGAGAGAGAGAAACAGACAGAGAAAGATACAGGAGAGAGGAACGGTGAAAGGCAGAGGAAAAACTGGGAGAGGGGACAATGACAACGGGAGAGATGAAAGTGAAAGGAGGAATATTGAGAAAAGGTAAGATTGATGTAGAAAATAAAATAAAGTAAGAGAGAGAGAGCCAGAGTGGTATAAAGATCACATGGCCAATGTGGAGCCAATTTGAGTTGCTCTCCCTCCTTCGTTTGATCCCTCTCTGTCCGTCTCCACGGCGATTAACGGCCGGGAGAGTTGTCACGGGAACGGCCAAGAGGGGGAATAACGAGGAAGCGGGACATCATCTGTACCAAGCAGAGCAGAGCAGAGCGAGAGAGAGAGAGAGAGCGAGATAGAGAGAGCGAGAGAGAGAGAGAGAGGGGAAGACCCCAAACCACAGCAGCACATAATTAAAATGGCTCCTCACACACACATTTCAACAAATCCAATAATGAACAGCCTCTTTTTGCCCCCACAGAGACACATAGTTCACCAGTTTCCTCAAACTTTTCACTATCTGATGCTGCCTGTCATCAAAGTGCCAATATCTGCGACAAGTTGTTCACCATGCACCATGTGTGTTTGTGCTAACATAGCAGGGTGTGGTCAACATGGACTTGATAAAGGCCAATCCAAATACACAGATGTGCTCAAAGTGCCAATAGCTGACTTTGTACAGATACTCAATGTATTCAAATGTAACCATCCCTGTGGCAAGCAAAATTATTCATTAAAATTAAAAATCTGATTAAGTATTTCCCCCGGAATTCAATTCTCGTCACAGTGGAAAAGCATCTGAAACAGCTAGACCGAATCCAAAACTCTCAAACGAGACGCAGGATAATGACAAACTCCGCCATGAAAAATTCCATAAACTCATTTTTTAACTGTTTACTTGATAAGTCAACCAACACAAAAGTAATCAAAACCAATTTTGATAAGGTATTAATTTAAGTCAATTACCAGGCACAAATGTCAAACATCAATCAAATGTGAGGATTTACTGCTTTTCTCTGTTTTATATACAGTGGGGAGAACAAGTATTTGATACACTGCAAATTTTGCAGGTTTTCCTACTTACAAAGCATGTAGAGGTCTGTAATTTTTATTTAGGTACACTTCAACTGTGAGACACGGAATGTAAAACAAAAATCCAGAAAATCATATTGTATGATTTCTAAATAATTAATTTGCATTTTATTGCATGACATAAGTATTTGATACATCAGAAAACTTAATATTTGGTACAGAAACCTTTGTTTGCAATTACAGAGATCACACATTTCCTGTAGCTCTTGACCAGGTTTGCACACACTGCAGCAGAGATTTTGGCCCACTCCTCCATACAGACCTTCTCCAGATCCTTCAGGTTTCGGGGCTGTCGCTGGACTTTCAGCTCCCTCCAAAGATTTTCTATTGGGTTCAGGTCTGGAGACTGGCTATGCCACTCCAGGACCTTGAGATGCTTCTTACGGAGCCACTCCTTAGTTGCCCTGGCTGTGTGTTTTTGGTCATTGTCATGCTGGAAGAACCAGCCACGACCAATCTTCAATGCTCTTACTGAGGGAATGGGATCTTAATCCATGACGGCGTAGTGTGTTACTAATGATTTTCTTTGAGCCTGTGGTCCCAGCTCTCTTCAGGTCATTGACCAGGTCCTGCCGTATAGTTCTGGGCTGATCCCTCACCTTCCTCATGATCATTGATGCCCCACGAGGTGAGATCTTGTATGGAGCCCCAGACCGAGGGAGACTGACCATCATCTTGAACTTCTTCCATTTTCTAATAATTGCGCCAACAGTTGTTGCCTTCTCACCAAGCTGCTTGCCTATTGTCCTGTAGCCCATCCCAGCCTTGTGCAGGTCTACAATTCTATCCCTATGTCCTTACACAGCTCTCTGGTCTTGGCCATTGTGGAGCGGTTGGAGTCTGTTTGATTGAGTGTGTGGACAGGTGTCTTTTATACAGGTAACGAGTTCAAACAGGTGCAGTTAATACAGGTAATGAGTGGAGAACAGGAGGGCTTCTTAAAGAAGAACTAACAATTCTTACTGGTTGGTAGGTGATCAAATACAGTGCCTTGCGAAAGTATTCGGCCCCCTTGAACTTTTCGACCTTTTGCCACATTTCAGGCTTCAAACATAAAGATATAAAACTGTAATTTTTTGTGAAGAATCAACAACAAGTGGGACACAATTATGAAGTGGAACGAAATTTATTGGATATTTCAAACCTTTTTAACAAATACAAAACTGATTACTTTCAGTGCAGCAAACTCTCTCCAGAAGTTCAGTGAGGATCTCTGAATGATCCAATGTTGACCTAAATGACTAATGATGATAAATAGAATCCACCTGTGTGAAATCAAGTTTCCGCATAAATGCACCTGCTCTGTGATAGTCTCAGAGGTCCGTTTAAAGCGCAGAGAGCGTCATGAAGAACAAGGAACACACCAGGCAGGTCCGAGATTCTGTTGTGGAGAAGTTTAAAGCCAGATTTGGATACAAAAAGATTTCCCAAGACACACCAAACATGTGGAAGAAGGTGCTCTGGTCAGATGAAACCAAAATCGAACTTTTTGGCAACAATGCAAACATTATGTTTGGCGTAAAGGCAACACAGCTCATCACCCTGAACACACCATCCCCACTGTCAAACATGGTGGTGGCAGCATCATGGTTTGGGCCTGCTTTTCTTCAGCAGGGACAGGGAAGATGGTTAAAATTGATGGGAAGATGGATGGAGCCAAATACAGGACCATTCTGGAAGAAAACCTGATGGAGTCTGCAAAAGACCTGAGACTGGGACGGAGATTTGTCTTCCAACAAGACAATGATCCAAAACATAAAGCAAAATCTACACTGGAATGGTTCACAAATAAACATATCCAGGTGTTAGAATGGCCAAGTCAAAGTCCAGACCTGAATCCAATCGAATCTGTGGAAAGAACTGAAAACTGCTGTTCACAAACGCTCTCCATCCAACCTCACTGAGCTCGAGCTGTTTTGCAAGGAGGAATGGGCAAAAATTTCAGTCTCTCGATGTGCAAAACTGATAGAGACGTACCCCAAGCGACTTACAGCTGTAATCGCAGCAAAAGGTGGCGCTACAAAGTATTAACTTAAGGGGGCTGAATAATTTTGCACGCCCAAGTTTTCAGTTTTTTATTTGTTAAAAAGGTTTGAAATATCCAATAAATTTTGTTCCACTTCATAATTGTGTCCCACTTGTTGTTGATTCTTCACAAAAACTACAGTTTTATATCTTTATGTTTGAAGCCTGAAATGTGGCAAAAGGTCGAAAAGTTCAAGGGGGCCGAATACTTTCGCAAGGCACTGTACTTATGTCATGCAATAAAATGCTAATTAATTATTTAAAAATCATACAATATGATTTTCTGGATTTTTGTTTTAGATTTCGTCTCTCACAGTTGAAGTGTACCTAAATTACAGACCTCTACATGTTTTGTAAGTAGGAAAACCTGCAAAATCAGCAGTGTATCAAATACTTGTTCTCCCCATTGTAACTGTAATTTCTTTGTCTGGGTTTCGCAAAACAAACTATCTGAATACTTCACCTATTATGAATATAGTATACAAAGGTAGGTAAATTTGGACACAGTGTAAATTGTGATGGCAATTTCTACTATTTATCAATCAATTAATCTAATCACTTTAATCCATAGGCCTGAACTAAGCAATGCTTATTATTCTGTCTAACATAATATGTTTGACACCCTAACCCTGGTAGTGCCAGTGTGTGAATACCACATGGCTGTTGTAAACTTATCTATTAGTCAATATCCTGTTCTATTGATGATGCTGTGTGCATGTTCACGCCACATGGGAATAACCAGCTGGATAATGTGACAGTTAAAAACATCTCAGAAGTTTTCACATGTTAAAACTCAAATTTACCAGGACGCCACAATACATATGTACTAAGTTGTTCATAAACAAAGTTTTACACTTCATGTTGTAGTGGTATGGTAGGTTACATGTTACATATCCATCCTACACACCTAGCCGCGAAACCAGACATGATGTCACGTTTTGGTTGTGGGTGATAAATACAGAGCGAATATAAGGTACAATGTGACCATACCTTTAGGGTTCATGTTTTGCTGCAAACAGTACAGTGTTCTGTCTCCTACCATGGCATCTTTAGGAATAGTGACCACACAATGATGAGAACCTTTTGCTACCTGAATGCTAAGTATAACTCTTTATCAATTAGATTTTTTCACATGTGATGATTTTAAGTATATTCTCACCTGCTAGGATGGCTTTGTGCGCCTGGAATTTCTGGCCGGTGACACACAAGGAGCAGTCAGTGAATCTAGAGTTTTCCCACAGATCTCCAAGCTCCTCAGCCAGCCTGCAGTCAGGAACCCTCACCATGTTCATTGTGTTCTGGCCGGAGATGTTCACAGAGTCCTGCACCACACTCACCTGAAAACATAATCCGATTACATGATTAACATTTAACATTTTATGAGCTTCTTTAGCTGGTCTGCATACTGTAGAATTAAAAATAGACTTTTCAAGTCTTTTTTTTAGAAGACGTGATATTGTGTGACATGGAAGTGCTTAAAAACACATAGAAAGACAATTAATCAGTCAATCAAACATGCTGTGAATGATTAATTTGGGTTCTCTGCCTCTGTAATCAATACATCAGCCACTCAATATGGAGGCTATTGAAAGACAACCTATTCTTTCTTCTTTGGCCAATCCGATTTGCTACATTCTCAAATAAGCCAGAAAACCGGCAGTGAAGTAAAATTTGGAGTGTGTGTGTGTGTGTGTGTGTGTGTGTATGTCTTCCCTGCTGACTTCACCACCTGTTCCAGACAATGTCAACCAGACTCATTTATCTCTCAACAGGACTCACTGCAAACACACACACATGAGCAGGCTCATGAGCACAAACACACACACACACACACACACACACACACAAATTACTCAGTAATTTCTGACAGCCTGGACTGACTGACTTGCAGATTTTTACCTGCTTGCTGTGTTGTCTAATCAAACAACACCAGTTAGTTACCCACAGTCTCACATAGAATACGTATTGTTAGTTATTTTATCAGTTCAATTCATTATAAATCAGTATTATAATGAAAGGCATTCCACTAATTTCTGGTGAAAAGAACTCTAGTCTGATCCTCGATAGTTAGCATCAACAGTGTACTGAAGTGCACAGGGTTGCATTCAAGGTTCCTGAAGTAATTTAGCCATTAACAATGTTAGATAATGGCCTGTTGGAGTACTTCTAATTCTTGGAGTGACATAAAAATCTCCCAGTTGATTCATATGTGCTGAAAATATTGTGGTTCAATGAAAAATTTCAAAGCAATTTTAGAAGACAAGACAAGATAGCACTGCAGTGAGAAACATCCAGTCAGCAAGCTTACAATTCTGATGTCCAGGCATATATTGGTGCTGATAAATGCATTCAGTAGCTTTGGAACTATGGTGCTATGGAACTTCAGCTGTGGAACCATTTCAGAACTTAAGTATCAACGTGTTACTCATCAAGTTCTTAAACAAATATTGTTAGCTTACTAGCACACTTCCCATCATAGTTTGTATTTAGGTTAAAATTATCCAGAAAGCCTTCTTTTCATTAATCTGAGGGAGGTTCTGATGAGATTTATGAACGGTAAAGGAATGAGGGGAATCAAACCGGATAATGCTTTACAAATTAAATATAACTGTCAAACAACTCAATACAATATACATAAACAATTGTTTGCTGAACTTAATTACATAAGTTTACCTACTTTACACTTTTAAGTATTTTGAAGTTTGATAAACCTAACATAGAAGTTTGATTAAACAAAGACTAGTCTAGCTGAGTGAAAAGTAATACTTTGTGGCTGGTTGCTGGTTGGTTGATTAACTTTTTCTGTGTATGCTAGAACTCTGATTCACACGTTCACATCTCTGGATAGTGTGTTGAGGTGGCGATGGAGCAGTGGATAAGACACGAGGCGTGCAACCTCTGACGTATATAGCAATTGTAAGACGCTTTAGGTAAAAATTGTCAGCTAAAATGAAAAATAAAATATGTTCTCATAAAAATAATGGCTGCTAAAGCTCATGGGTACTGTAGTATTTAGAGCTTTGTGTATTGGACATACCAAACTGAAAGAAAATAACTTCTCATGATTAAAAATTGTTGAAATACTTGATGGCCGTAACAGAATCCAATGTTACTTTAAAATCATCCTCCTGTGTTTCAGTGTTGAGGAACTTTAGGTGATCATTGAGTATAACTAAGGTTAACCGATACTCTTCCTGCTTCACTAACCCATGTAGCTGATTAATTTGGCTTGTCTAGGAACATCAAACAAAATGTCAAATGTCAGTATGAAATAAAGTCTACAGTAAAATATTGCAGGATAATGACATGTTACTTTCATTCAGCTTAATTGTCTTTCCTAACAATGTAATAAATAATTACATTGACATTACTGCAATTGTAACATTATAAAATATCTGATAAGGTGTAGTCTTTTTAATTATGGCTTTGTGATATGCACTAAACAACATTTACATAATGTTTCAGTCAATTTAAAGTGTTGTTTTATGGTTTGCCCACGTATAGTGTTATGCTTTTTTTATACAAAATAAATCAAAAGTTTTTTAATTATCCATCACTTTATTACAATAGTACTATGTAACTAGTATGACATTATGACAATGTTTAATTGGTTGTTTTTTTACATTCTGCACAATTACATTCTGCACAATTATGAAGTTATGAAGGGAGTTATTTTTTATCAAGACATGTCTTTTAACTCACACATAAAGCAAACTACAAGGACTGCCTATTTTCACCTTCGCAATACTGAGAAAATAAGAAACCTTCTGCATCGAGATGATGCAGAAGAACTTGTCCACGCATTTGTTACCTCAAGGCTTGACTACTGTAACTCTGTGCTTTCAGGCTGCTCAAAAAAAATCTCTTAAGTCTCTCCAGTTAATACAAAACGCTGCTGCATGTATACTGACTAAAACTAGCAGGAGAGATCATATCACCCCTGTTTTAGTAACGTTGCACTGGCTCTCGGTAATTGAGAATTGATTTTAAAATACTTCTTCTTACATACAAAGCCCTTAATGGTCAGGCACCATCTTGTTTTAAAGAACTCCTTACGCCATACTGTCCCACTAGAACGCTACGCTCCCAAAATGCAGGGCTACACGGGTCTCTACAATGGGAGCCAGAGCCTTTAGCCATCAAGCACCTTGGCTGTGGAATCAGACCCCTGTCTGTGTTCGGGAAGCAACCAACATTTCCATATTTAAGAGTAGGCTAAAAACTTTTCTTTTTAGTAAAGTTTTTAGTTAGGGGTGGTTTTTCTTTATTTTGTGAGAAGGCTTATAGTTTTATGAATTTGTATACATTTTAATTGTCTATTTTATTTTATTTATTATTAGTTTTATAACTGGGTATTTTATTGTTGTTTTTTAATGTGTGTATCTCGTTATGTGTTGTCAGCCTTTTTTTATCCAATTCTGTAATCTTTATATGTCTCTGTCTTCTGTAAAGTGTACTAGGACCACACAGCTGGTGATTTTACACTTTAAATAAATTTGACTTTATTTGACTTATGACTGTCCGGTCAGATAACCAAAAAAACATGAGGATAATTTTTGTTCCCTGTTTTCATTGCTGACAGCTTCTAAACACATTCAGTGCACTGCTCTCATGAAAAGGCTGAAAATACCCACAAAGTGACCTTGCTGTTAACGCTTTTGCCAGGGAGGCTGACACCCAAACCCCCCTCCAAAAAACAACAACAAAAAAGAACAGCCTCTCTCCTCATCCATCCCCATCCATCCATCTGGCCACCTATTCGTCCAATGCCACATCCATCCTCCTATTCAACTCACACAAAAAAAAAACTCCTAGCAAAGGAAGAGAGGCACATACAATAGAGAAGTGCGTGGCAAGCAGGAAATTGAATGTCAAGGAGCCTTGTTTGCTCCTGATGGAGGTTTGAGGGTTAGCCTGAAGGGGACAGAAAGACAGAGAAAGAGAGGCTGAGGGAAAGATAATAAAACAGAAGAAGGGAGTGAGAAAAGTAAGGAGAGAGAGAGGGGAAGATATAGGGATAATAAAAGACAGAGAGAATACAGATGCAGAGATACCAAGCAGCAGATGGACAGAGAATAGAAAGGCCATCACAACCAAATGTGCTATTGGTGGGATCTACAGTTGAGAGAAGGCCTCTCATAAGCAGCCATTCATTTCTGGCACAGAAATGCCAGGGACAGTGAGAAGAAAATGTGACTTTTCTGAAGAGAGGAGCATTCGAAGTATTCCTCAGTGTGAGAGGAGCTAAGTATGAATGTATGTGTGTGAATGTGTGTGAATGTGTGTGACAGTCTGGTTTCCACAGCTGGCTCTATTAATCACACTCCAGGGGGATGCAGGTCTGACTGACTGACGTACATCCATCTCCACATGCACAGACACAAACACACATTCACATGAGGACGAGACGGTCCCGCACACAGACATTGGCATTCATAAAACACTGATTAGCAATACAGAAAGCCTGGGAGAAAAGGAGCTGCTGTGTATAACAGAGGGAGAAAAACAACAGAGAGAAAAACAAAGGAGAGAGGCAGACAGACGGACAAAGAGACAGGGGGCAGAGGACAGAAGTTCAGTGAGCTCAAGTTGGAATGAAAAATGGCTTTGGGAGAGGAGGAGGGTGGCAAGTCGAGCGCTGTGTCCTGAGTACACACTGAAAAAATAAACAAGAGCTGAAAAGCGAATTGGAAAAGGAGCCAGTGAGCCAGGTCAATGTGTTTGGGTATAAATATCCCAATTAGCATGGTGGAGCCGTTGCTGGGCTCTCAGACGCAGCGTGGCAGAGCCGGTCTAATTACTGGCTAACTTGACCAATTATTCCACTGTTTAACCAGGCAGAAACTAAATCACAGCACCTGGTTATTTAGACACACTGGCTGCCCTGACAGTCTTCACGCCATTAGCTGTCATCTTCAGTCATTGTCAACCTCCTCCTCTCTCTTCTTGCATCTTCCTCCTCATCAACACTCCTTCTCTTATTGGACGAGTGGACAGGGATGTAGCCAGTTTTGACACAAATGAATTTTCAAGATAGACTGGCAAATAAACCCCAAATGTATACGGTTCATTTATTGTCTCAATTTAAATGAATGGCTTATATAATATGTATTTTGGATTTTAAAACAAGTTACCACAAGAGTCTACAGCCGTGCAAACAGCTCTGTGAGGCTGTAGGCATGGTGACATTTTGTTAACTTGTTGTGTGTAGCAGTGTTGTGTGTATGCTTCACCATCTTATTTTATCATGTCACCATGCTAAAATACACTAATTAGCATTACACGAGGAGTAAAGCTGAGGCTGATAGGAATGTCCGTTTAACAGGTATTTGTATCA